AGTACACAATTTTTAACCGTTTAGTAAGGGCAATATTTTGAAATTTTGAGTTTGGGTCAAGGGTCAAATTGGTAGTACATGATACTAACTTGGAATAATTCTCAAAGTTAAAAACTCTGGAAATATTTTTCTAACCTCCCCTTAATTGCATTATTATTCTTTTAAAACCACCCCAAATAGGAGTTATCCCTATTTGATTTTAGGAAAACTGATTATATATGTGAATTATTTTCTTATTCTATGGAAACTAATCACCTTTTATTTTACATTTATCTTTTTGTTAAGCTATTATTATTTGTTATTTCTGCGACTTAGCTATTAGCATATCTGAAACAACAACTATATAATGAACATGTCTCGTGAACTTAATAATAATCAAAGTAAGACACATACCTTCTCCACGGTGAAAAGCGGTAGTTGAACCGGAAATGCACCAAGGCTTTTCACATTTGTTTCCTTAATTCCTTTTAAATGATACCCGCTAAAGTTTTTTAACATTGGCCACTCTGTCACATGTTTCCGTGGGTAGAAACATTTGAGTCTTTTTAGATTCCACAGGCTAAGAGTAGATAAACAAGAAAACACAAAAGTGGGAACTGCTTCATCTCCATCTCCAAATGCTACAACTTCCTCTATCCCGCAACGGGTTAACTCCAACATTTCAAGTTGCTGTAGTTCCATAGCCACTGAAGTTTGGAACAAATTTTGGAGGTTCGGACAATTATGAACTTTCACAGACTGCAATTTTTGGAAAGTAAGAGTACCACGAGGATCCCTGGTACACACATGCTTCAGTCTTGGTAGCTGACAAAGATGGACATGTCTGAACTGGGTATGTGTTACACCATCGACCTTCACTTCTCCAATTTCGAATATCTGTTCTACACCACAACGATATACATCCAACCGTTCTAGTGATGCGCATAATCTCTTCGGTAGATCGGATGAAAAAATAGTTGATAATTTGTAACAACTCCCGATGTCCAATGATTTTAGTTTGCAGTAAGAATTTGCAGGAAGCTGGTGGTGCCATATGATCCTCAATTCCAATCCTTGGAGGCATAAATTTTCCAAGCTGGGAAACGAAACCTGCATTTATTTTTAATTAATCAAAAATAGATCGTACTCAGAATCAATTCCTAAAATTAGTCAAAATGCATTTAAAAATGAAGAAAATATACCTTCTCATTAAAAAGGGGTTCTAGTCCACCTGTCATATCTGTGCTCGCATGATTGACTGTGAAACCCTTCAATTCTGGACAGTGCTCGATAAACATTTGCTTTAAGGCTGGGAATTCAACACTACAATTTCCGGAGCAGAATCCAGTATGCTTTTCAAGATGTTCTATCTTTAGGATTTCTAACATTGGGAATGAAATCATATCTTCCATATCCTCTGCATTCTCTGGTTCAATTATCTCCCTTATCTCCTTGCATTTCTTTATTTCAAGGCATCTGAGCTTCACAAGACTTTTAGCCATGGAGGATGACAATAGGTGTTCCAAATGATCACAGCCCTCAATGATCAATTTTGTCAGAATCTGAATGCAAGAAGATGCAATTGAAAGCTGGCTGCCCCATATACTCTTAATGTTAATACAGGACAATTGTAACTCCTCCAGGTTTGGAAAGACAATCTAAAAAAAAAGAGGAAGGAAGAAGACGAAGAAGAAGAAAACCAATACTTAATTTCTACCGGGAAATTTGAGTAAGAGATCATTAATTAAACAGATAAAAATTATACTTAATTTTCACACGGAAAATTCTAATAAACCATCGTCATATTAACTAGCAGACATCACACATGTAGCTTTAAAAATTCGACTTAAATAGTAATTTTGATCAATTCTTTACTTAGAGCATGGTAAATCTCCACTAAGTTCCTTCTAATTACTCTGTTTAGTTTTTATGTACACCAATATACTGTATACAAGAAAATTTAAATACCTTTTCATCAAAAAGTGGTGCCGAGTTCGTGCTTGGATCATTTGTTTCCTCATTTCCATGGCATAGTCTAATGAACTTCGGCAAATATTGCAATTGCAAGGACCGTAGTTGGACAAGCTCAAAAGTTGCACTTGCTTCTGCCATTTCCATGACCCCTTGCAACTCCTCACCAACAATCTCTGTCATATTGCTACACTCCATCACTCTAATTTCTTTGAGTTTGTGAAGTTGTCTAGCTACAGAGAATGAGAACAAATTTTTCAACTGATTACAAGATTTAACAGTTATAGTGCTTAATCTGCTAAAAGATGTTCCTCCGAGCCGGCCATGACATATCTTCACCAAATTATTCAAATTCTGCAGAAAAAGTTCTTCCAAGAGTGGAAATACACACCCCACCCGGTTAACAATATGTTGAACCTCTGGAGCATTTTTGACATGAAGATACTTCAGTTCCTGAAAACCCGCAGGTTCTAACTCATAAACTACATTCTTGAAACCCATCAACACCTCTAGATGTAGTTCTTCTGTTTTCTTCAACAGCATATCAATTGAATAACTATAACTATTGCTCGTATTCAGCTCCAGCTTTAATAGTTTTGAGCTTTTGAAGGAACTATCCCAGCGATTCCACACCTCTCCGATGAAGATCTTGTATCTTTTCAATCTATCAAAGAACAAGTCTTTTGGAATTTGCTGGACATCACAAACATGTACATCTAAAGCAGCCAGGTTATGCATATCTTTCAATTCAGCAAGGCTAGCATTTCTTTGATTTCCTTCTTGCCCAACATCCCATTGATCGAAGCTATTTCTCAGATACAGCTCTTCTAGTTTGGACAAACTTGCCAGGACATGTGGTCGAATCATTTTGAGTTTGGTACAATCACTCAAATCTAAGAGCTTTAGCTGGGTTAGTTGTCCAATTTCTGCTGGCACCTCTTCAATAGCACATCCTGAAAGGCTAAGGACTTCCAAACTCGTCAGTTTTCCAATAATAGCTATGTCTTCTAGAACACTTCCATTCACATGTAAGGTATGAAGGTTTTTTAGGAGGAAGATTGATGAAGGCAAGGATGAGAAATGCATATTAGTGAAATCCAAGACTCTGAGTTTTTGTGTTCCCCGAAAAAAGTTTTCTGGAATTTTCATAGAAGAATTGTTGCCGCGCAAAAAAAACAAGATAAGCTGTGGACATTCCAACTCATCAGGAAGATCCCTAATATTAGTATATTGTAGACAAATCCATTTGAAATCTTCCAATGCCTCCCTATCTGACAACTCTTTTGGTATATGGTCTTCTATTAATGATAACAGATGGTGGTCCCTTAAGGCAATTGATATGGCAACATCATGTACAATATCGTGCATATCAAAGCCACTATTGGTAAGACCATCAAGCAGCAAAGAAGAGGACTTTAGATTGCTAACCAATGTTAGTACCCTGTCTCGAGCTTCTCCTGTTGTCTTGACATTACGAAATAAGTCTAAGCCGATTCCATACATTAGCAAGTCTTCAATAGAAGAATTGTGTCCCAACAAGCAGCAAAGCAAGAAAGTTTGCTGGAGCTCTTTTCCTTCTAGATGATTGTAACTCAATTCTATTGCTGAATAAACATTTGCAGGTATCCCCGTGAAGCTGTCTTGAGAGGGCCTTTTCAGTTGTAGTAGAGCATCCCTCCATACATGAGCACCCTTACCTTTCAAAGCTTTTGCAACTGCTTCGACAGCCAGTGGCAGCCCAGCACATTTTTCCACTATCTCCTTTGCCGTAAGCAGTAACTCAGAATTTTCAACTTCTTCACCTACTATTTTCTTCACAAGCGTCCATGCTTCTTCATCTTGTAACGTACCAACTTGGATGTTTTCTTGGGTACCCATGTCACAAGATAAAACATTAAGATCTCTAGATGTAAGGAGAATCTTGCATTGCATCTTTACTTCTCTAGTTGAACTTGCCTCGTTCTTTTTGCCTTCAAATGGAATTCTAAGTTGATCCAAATCTGGCCTCGTACCAACTTGGATGTTTTCATGAGTGCCCATGTCACAAGATAGAACATCGAGATCTCTAGATGTGTGGAGAATCTTGCATTGCATCTTTTCTTCTCCAATTGAACTTGCCTTACTCTTTTTGTCTTCATATGGAATTCCGAGTTGATCCAAATCTAGCCTCGCCCAGATATCATCTAAAATCACAAGAATCTTCTTCTTTTTATTCAAATACGCCTTTAGTTGATAGGCCCTCCCAAATTCAGTCTCCCCGTGGAGCTGTAGACCTAATTTATCTGCAATTTCTCCTTGAATTTTCTTCAAGTCTGGATTCTTTTTCACAGAAGCCATAACTATCACATCAAATAACCGCTCATCCTCGGCTTGTCTAGCAACCTCTTTGGCTAACATGGTCTTGCCCACCCCAGGCAGCCCACAGATGCCTATCTTGTCAACACTAGCACTTCTCAAGGCGTCCATAACACGGTTCAAAGTCGGCATTCTTGAGTCAAATTGCTCAAAACCTTCAGCTGCTGCGGTGGATATCTCTTTTGGAGGAGGACGGTATGAAACTGGGAACTTGAATCCGGCAGCTTCTTCTAGGAGTGGAGCAACAGCCTCCAAATACTCCTCTACTTCCTTGCTAATTTGGTAACGGGCCCTGGGATTAGGACACAACCCAGCGAAGCACTTCTTCTTTGCTTTGTCTTCGTCATCCCCTAACTTCTTCATCTCTCCAATGTACTTCTCTATCTCTCCAATGTACTTCTCTGCACCTGAAAGCCAATTCGTGACATTCGGTGCGGCCTCTTCCCCTCTTAGGCCAGCAGCTTCTGTAAATTGCAGCACATGCTTTCTTTCATCAACCAGCTTCCCTGCCTTTTCCTCCAGACTCTTTACATTAGACTCCGACTTCAACACACGCGTGATTCGGATCCAGATTGGCTTTAAAAGCGGTTCAACCAGGATCTCAGCACATTTGCCAACAACAGCAGTGCCAACAGCGATACACAACTCGGCCATTTTCTAATTTTTTATTAAAATATTTGAATTTTGACTTTTGTGAAAGTACATGTAAAACAAACAGCTAACCAAATATTTGGCGGGTTGCTACCACTAAGTTTTAATTTGAGATGAAAATCAAAAAATTTCGAACTCCTGCAATATTAAACAATTATGTATTAAAAAAACTGACATAAAATTGACATATCTACAGACAATAGAAACATAATAGAATTAAGGTATATTTAGGTAAAAATTAATAATAAAAGAAAAGGAATTTTAAGTGAAAGACAAGAATTATTGTTAATTTTCTTTGAATAAAGAAAAGTGAAAGAGGAGAGGATAATATTTTTTATTATTTAATTAAATAATTTTAAATAAAATAAAATAAAATTTTATAATTTATT